TATACTGAAGGGAAATATATATATATACTATAGGGCAGGAATACTCTGTGGCATACTTAGCAGTTCCAGTTTCCACAGGCTGACTCCCTGCTAAGAAGAGATCTGCATGCACCTCACCCCCTTGCAATCTTGGCTTCCTCCAGAGAAAAACCCAAGCATATGAGCAGAGAGGGAGCCACAGGGGGCTTTTGTGGGCCTACAGGAACACTACGAAGCACATCTACCCAATAAATTACAAAGCAATGCAATGTCTACCAGTATAGACATGGTCACTTTGTCCTCCTTCAGCTTAAGGCTTCACACACTTCTTTCACTATGCCATAGTAAGTTCTTTCTATCACAAAACTGTTCCCTGGTTAAGCAGAGACTCATTCACTCACTCTACCTTATTTTTTTAGACTATTACTATTTAAACTATTTATTCAGACTCACAGAATATAGCAAAATTGCTGGCATTCTTGTGGCTCTTTTCTGAAATATTTTCAATTTATTAACATGTTTTAAAGGCCTTATTCATGGAATCAAGTACAATGTTGTAGAAATGATCTTACTAGTGCTGCACATAGTCACATTGGTTCCCACTTTTAACAGATACACTGCTATTCACTCAAAGATGGGGTCAGCTCTGCTAACTGCAGTTTTTTACTAAATGCTAATATCCATGTGCCAAGGTGCTATAGCTCCAACACCTTTTCCAACACCCCGATTTCCAGGATGTGGTAAGCAAGACCTGTATTTTTATTGAACTCAACTCCTTCTGTTGGACTGCAGCATGTCTGTATCCTAAACTATAAAAATTACCTTTGAAGCATATCCTTGGTTATATAAACTGGTAGGAAACTCTGCCAAAGATAAGATTGACAAAACGAAAAATAGCCTTCATTAAATGCATGTAACAACATTAGGAGCCTTTTAATAAGAAGGGTCTCTCCATCCCTTTAATAACTATGAGAAAACCCCTGCTACCAACTACAATTAAGGATGTTTTTGTACATAGATATCTACTGACATAGACAGTTCTCACAGGAAGTAGCAAGAGCTAATTCTAAGGAAGAAAAAATAGCTAATACAACAACGTCAATCTCTGAAGGAAAAATCAACTTGAAAAACAATATACTTAAAATTTTGGCAACTTTGAATTTATTTTACTATTCATGCAGATGAAAGCACCATAAGCTGCATGAGGAAAGAATAGAAACATTAGTTTTGTAAAATTCTCAAGGGACAATACTACAAATATCACCATAAAAAGATTTTCAGTACAACACTTTGTGACTCTCTTGCATTTTCTGTGACAGCCCCAGGATGGATAAAATTTGATACTCTGTATGCTTACTATATGTTTGGTATGATCTGTTTAGAGACAAAACACTGGAGATCTTCCAGTACATTTTTAATATGTTCGGGAAGAAAAAAAAGTCTGAACTCCTTCTCTTTGGACCATTAGAGCAAAGCTTTATAACTTATTTTCTAACCATGTCCTGCTTTTTCTGATGATGAGAGAACTTACAACAGAAATTAAAGCAAAAAAAGCCTTATAAAAGAAGCAGAAAGGCACTAGATTTTGGTTGTATCAAACCAAAAAGGTATCAAAGGTAAATACTTGAAAGACCATTATCTTCTAAAAGAAAAATTGTTCTAGGTTTCCTTAATTGATAGACTTATGGAATAATTCATACAAGGAAAAGCTAGAAATTAATGTGGCATTTTTTTCCATTGGAGGGCTTGGAAGAGATGATGAAAAAAGGCTGAAGTGCCATATTCCTCCCTGAATGCATAGCTGTCAAGAAAAAATTAGGCAAGGCAAGGAGAAGTCTCTATATGACACAAGGCAAACAATGTATATTATAATACACAGAGTTTTAAATCCTTATTATCTTTATTAAAATCACTCACAAGAAATGCCAAAACCTTTTTACCACAGTAGTTTACCCAGCAAACAAGCAAATCTTGGCAGTTCTCTTGCAAGTTTCATTTAGTTAAAGTTTCTGAGATTTGAATATGAAATAATTTATTCCCCAGTACTTCTCAGGTTCTCAAATTCCATGTGTGGCATCAAATGTGAGAGCATAATGACAGTCACGAGGATCCTGGTAAAGCTAACTATGCAGAAACTGGATGCTGCTGGGGTTCACAGGTTTTAACTTTTATGAAGTTGGACCTGTGGACCCAGTTCAACTTGTCTGCAAGTACTTTATGTATCACTGCCAAGATGAGCACAGAGTGCAAGACATTGCAACAGACCTAACTAAAAGAAAACTAAAAAAGAAGCATTATATACATATTTAAAATCAACATTAAAAGATGTTTACAAACTAAGGTAACAGCTGAATTGAAATGCCTTAAACATCTTGAAAGATGAAGTCACTGGCAAAAGGAAAACCAAATGCTGAGTGGCACAGAACTTGGGATTATTGGTAATGATTAATTACGAATTGATATCAATATAATCTACAGAGAATATCAAGTGTTTCCAGCAGCAGACGATCCATGTCAGTGCTCTCTAGCTTCTTTTAAGCTAATAAGATGTCTTAGACATCACCTCCTGGGAAGGGTATCAAATGGCAGATGAATACAGAAAACATTTGTCCTTAATTGCAAGTTATGAGAGCAAGGATCATGAAAACATATGTGAAAGAAAAGGGTGGTGGGATTCTTGAGGTTTATAAACTAAAAATGTTAAAATGAAAGCGGCGAATGAATGGCTAACATCCATGCTATAGGAATATCATGACTGTTGTTGGTTTGATGGCTGATGTTCTGACAAATCCAGACAGGACATGTTGCTACATATTGGCATATGTCAAATATGTAAACTAGCTTCGACCACTGTTACGTTTTTTTCTGTATATTACAAACACCCAAGAGTCCACTGTTACAAGGAGAAGAGAATTGGCCTATCATTAACTGAGTGGGCTAACAAAATTGAGCACTGCCAAGGGAAATTACCTGAAAATGCAATAAAATAGTGCCTTCAGCTAGGCCAGATCAGTGCACAGTCCAAAGGAGAGAAATGGAGAGCAGACTCAATACTTGGGGTCTCTGAGATGCTTTGAGAGGAAAGGCTGACAAGTTTGAACTACTTTAGCTTCAGTCCATTTTAAATTTCCTAGCTCAGCTGAAGAAATCAGCAGTATAAAATTGGTAAGGTAAAAGACAGGAAAATAATCTGATCAGACTGTAGAGACAAAACAATACAGTAAAGAGACTGAATCAAAGAAGGATAAAAATATATTCTATTTCTATCAAGTTAAAGTGGCTAAACGTGACACCTTAGCCCTGTGCAAACACTGATGTATGACTATGTACAGGAGTGTTCAAAGCACCTGGTTTGAGACCCAGAGCACCTGAGACAGTCTTTGGCCCGGCTGAGCTGAGAGACGGGCTTATGGCAGGAGGAAGACGGGTATGAAGAGATTCCCACAGGTACTGCTGCGGCACAGGTATGCATTGACCATGCTTCCCCCATACCCGCAGCAGAGCTAGAGATGAAATCCCGAATCCCTGTGCCACATAAAGATTTACCTATCGACAGGGAACATAGACAGATGTTGTCGCTTTGGACATGCAAACATTGCTAGAGTGAATAATTTTCTCTGCAGCTCGGCTTCTTCTCATGGAAATGAAGCTTGATAGACATCAGAGTGGTGGGTCCCTGAGCAATCCTAGATGGTCACTAACCACTTACATAACCTCGGGAAATCATATCACTTTTCTGTGCTTTTTGTCTCTTCTTGTTTGCCTTGTCTGTCTGGAATGGCAGGTTTTAATGTGATTGAAGTCGAGAGTGATTATCTCTCAATCTGTGTGTGTAATAGTAGAGTTCCACACTGGAGTTCCCAATGTTCTCAGCCAGGGCCACTAGGTGCTGCTGTAATATGAGTAATTAAAATAATAACTATTATTAAGGAAATTGCATCTATTCTTACTATGGACTGTTTAAAAAAGCCTGAAAGCCAAAGAAAAAACTTATTCTAAACCTGCACCTTTTTAGAAAAGTAAGAACCGAAAGACCTGACCATTCACTTCCCTGGTACTCAAATTTTTTCCTTTTACCTTTTGCAGCTTTGCAGAAAAAAGCTGCAAATGCCTTCCCTCTTTAAAAAATGCACTAAATAAATGCAAATCTTTTTCTACTCCATTTCCACTTTTAAGCCCAGCTTCAGCAGTTTGCTATTATGCAAGCTCATCCAAATCATTAGACTCCAAAATCCTTGCCAGCTACACAATTATGCACCTTATTCACGTAGTATTTGGATGTGAACAGAAAGGCAAAGTCCTCAGCATGAGGGAGCATGACCAGAATGCATGGTGATGTTACTGAGGCTCAGATTTTTGTACCTGTGAGTTCCACAGCCTTATAAGGAGGGTTTATCTTCTTAAATGTAGTTGACTAGCCATAAACACAGTAGAAGTTTAATAAGACTCCATATGAATCACAGTCACAAAATGCTTCTTGCCTGAGAGTACTAAAATGTCTTTAAGCAGCTGCCAGCTATAGCTCAGAGAGCTATATGATTAAAGTGCTATTTCTGAAAGTCTTGGAGTCAGTGCATCTAACTGGACTTTACAGTGGACAATCCAAAAGGCTATTTATATTCAAAAATAATTTGGCAAGTCTTGTTCATCAAACCAGTTTTCCAGACACAAAGACTCCACTTAAAAATTTCTTTTTGGATTTATTGCCCTTAAAAATGAAGTTAAATGAAATTATCTGGATCATCATCAGAACAGGTCTGCTAAGGCAGTTCTGGATTAATTAGAAGTGATTAGAAGTTTTGCTGCGGGTTACCTCAAGACACAAAGTTAGCAAGCACAGAAGTTAAATGACAAACACTAAGCACATGTGGAAAAAAAAGTACCAGGAACACTATATGAGAATTAAGACTTTATGGTAAACGTGGGACAGAATATTTACAGTTTATATAAATCATTATTAAAAAGCATTTTAGGAAAGTGCAGAGGTACCAACACAGATGAAAAATATATTTTATTCTTACCATTTGAGACTGGCTCCGGGGACAGCCATTGATATCTTCAACCTTTTCATTTGCTAAACAAAAACAGTGAGGAGAAAAGCAGAAGTAAACAATGAAATAAAACTTTCCTTTCCACTCCCTGGCCAAAAAAAAAAAAAAAAGACCTAAAAAACCAAAACTAGAAAAAAAAAAAAAAAGAAAAAAAAGAAGAAGAGCAGAAAAGACACGGCAATAAAGTGCACAGGGTTTTGTTGACACAGAGCTCCTTTCTAAGTAAAGCTCAGTCGTACAGTAACAACACTCTTGTTAGCAGCAGTTGCTTCCACATGCCAAATCATGCAAAGGGGGAAGTGCGAAGGAGGTCGCTGCTAATTCTTCAGCCCCTGCAAAATAACTGCTGACATGAAATCTTCCACAATTGTCTTTGCAGGGTCAGGATACAGTTTCAAGGCATCCCAGAAAGTATGAGCCACTCCAACGAACAAAATGCACACATGGGAGACATATGGTTTAATGAAGCGTTCATTTCTGACAATTCAAAGTGTGTAAGATACAGTTCTGGCCATTTAAAGTATGGTTAAACAGCCACTTCCAAACATGCTCACATAAACATATTTTTTAATTAAGACAAGGATGAACCACACAAATATCAGAGACATATGGACCCAGTCAAATTGTATTATTCAGGGTTCATCTTATTGTTAAATACATTCAACTTGAATTATATATTCCCCCATGCAAGGAGTCAGCTCGCAGCACTTCTCACAGCCCTGGTCTTACCGATGATCTGGATGATTTCTGCTAGCAGAACTCCATCTGCAATGTCCTGTTGCAAATCCTTGATCAACCGCTTGTGGCCAGATTTTGCTAGGTAGTGGTTAGCCCAGTCAGTGTAAATCTGTAGAGCAGAGAGGGGAGGGCAGAGGGAGAGGAGGAAGAGAGGAAAGAAGACAATAAAAATTCTTAAAACAAATGTTGGCTTGCAGACCAGAACTATTCTGGATCACATTCCCATTTAAAAAGCACTAAAGGAAACAATTTTAACGTTGTGTTTTTTGCCTTTTTTTTTTTTTTTTTAACTGGCCATGCCCCTCCCCCTGCCATTCTCTGTTTTATTTTAACTTCAAATGATTCAGGCTGTTTCATGAGGGTTCAAACTTGCTGTGACCAAGCAAAATTCCCCTTATGACTGTAAAGAAAACTCCTGTCGTAAATCAGTCACATCTACCGCAATTCCACCTCCCACCGTGTTTCTACCTATACACACGCCCCACCGCCAACATTCACACTCTGGGGCTGCCTAAGAGAAAGTGATAGCAGAGACGTGTGCCTGTGTTTTGGTAAGAGCTCATCGGGTTGTCGCCGGCAATCCCGCGCCTGGCGATGCCTCTGTGACACCTTCTGCAGTAATCACCACATCCCGCCATGCAGGGACAGGTCGTTTGTCCCCTCGCCTACGGTTCAGCGTGCTGTAATGTGCACAGAGGAGACTGAGAGCGCCAGATGTACAGTAGTCATCGCTGGAATTAGAGTATATATTCTGGAAATACGCTGCGTCCTTTCTCCGCCAAAAGAGGAGCGGGGGGGGGAAGGGTGAGACTGAGCAGCACCAAATACTTAGTAACAGGCAGCACAAAAATGGCAGTTATCAACAAAAGGTTGAAAAGGACCAGCTGAACTACATCCTCCAAAAGAAAGGAGGAGGGCGGGTGTAAGAGAGAGGTTGCAGGCATTTCATAAGGCATATATGTACGCGGAGAGAGCATTTGGTAATACCTACAGCGTGCACGCAAGGGGAACCAGGTTTACTTATGGTGAGATAAGAACAGACACCTTTACCTATGTACCGAAGGAAGAGTGCACCCCAAGAGGTGTTCACACCACCCCGGGGTGTCCCAGCACCTTCACCTATGTACCGAAGGAAGAGTGTACCCCAAGAGGTGCTCACACCACCCCGGGGTGTCCCAGCACTAGCAGAGCTTGGCGCGGGGGTATCTGGAGGGTATCAGAGGCTCTGGGCAGCCAGCCCTGGCTCCCTTGTGTGGGGTGTCTGTGCCCTCTCTCCCCACCCCAGAAGAAAGGCCTTGTACAGACCTTCCCGCTACCATAGAAAGGTAACTACTGAAAGACAGTATATAAGTACGACAGCATCACTAAGTAAATATAATATCCAAGGTTCTTTCTCTGCTGAGATTATTGTTTGAAAATGTTGAAACCTCTTCCATAAAAACAATATGAGCTCACTTTACAAACATTCTTTTATTTAACCTCACAGACTCTGGGGAGGAAGGGGTCAGAATCCAATTTTGTGAACAGATAAACAGAGGCCAAAGCCATTGACTACTTGATTAGTTCACCAAGGCAATCTGTGGCAGAGCCAGAGCAGGAAAATGGATGCAATTCCCAGTCCAGAGTCTTACCCAGAGAACCAACATCCACTTTCCACCCAGCAAAAGTATCACTGCTCAGTCCACATTCACACGCTAGGGACTCCTTCGCTACCTGAATACCTTTGTCACAGATTTTCTCCCTCATCATTGTAAGAGATGCAGAATTGTAACTTGTTTGGTCTACCCTATTTCTTCCCATATTTCTGCAGGTGGATCACCACCTGGTTTGCCATAGCTTTCTTGACAGCTTTAGAACTTTAGATAACTCCACTTTAGATTCTACTTCGACAGAATTAAACTGTGGAAGCCGATTTGGCTCTCCCATAGCCAAAGGATGCTGCTGTTAGATGGGGCCCTAAATTTCCCTGCTGCACCCAGAAGTCTGCTTCGGTCATCTATATTTTCACTGACTGATATTCTTTTTTTGCTATTACAGGTGAGTGACATGAAAGGCTCCACTAAAATGGTTTTTAAAGCCAACTGTAGCTAAGAAAGTGTTTCTTCAAGTGTATAACCAGGTACAATGAATGCTAATGTGGAGTCTCTAAAGACTGTATGAACACATATTTAGAACAATATGAAATCGTGATGATAAAAGACGCATACCACACCCATAGCATCATGTATTCCCTACTACTAGTACTTCAATTTCAGTCATTCTTCTAAAGTAATGTCTCAGAAATATTCTCTGAGCTATTTGTATAAACAGAGCTATTTTGTGTATTGCAGTGAAACTGATCCACTGGAAGATACAGGCTTTAATACCCACTAATATTATTTTAGGTTAGTTTCACATTACAAATAAAAATACTTTACCAAGCATTTCCTTTTTCATTTGTCACACCCACACATAATCTGGTGTACCAATCCTAATTTTGACTACAATTTGAAGTATCCTCTCACTAAGCAGCCAGGGAAATTTCATTCAAGCAGCTGCTTTGCAAGTATCTAGTATTCGAAGAATGGACTTCACCCACCCATCCATCCCCTTCATAATTTTCTTTTCTCATTAACTTAAAAGTGACAAACATAAAGAATGTACACAGTGTTTTGTAAACAAAAGTTGATAATCCACATCATCCCAAAACTTTACCGATAGTCAGTATTTTGACAGTCATGCAATAGTACCAAAAAAAAAATCCTGGGAGGAGGCAGAGGTCAAAGAACACTTTTTTCACTTCAGAAGTATTAAAAAAATAATCAAAAAGGCAAAGAGTTGTTGGCAGAGACAATATAGCAAACCAACACCCAGTTGACAGTGGAATGTCACACTTAATTTCCTCTCTTTCCATGGGGATCACCACTTGCTTCTGTTTCCCCCCTTCCCTATAGGATGCCCTTCTCATTCATCTCATTCTTCCAGGGACCCAACTGCTCAGGAGTCAGTTGTAAAAAATGAGAAGCATGTAGATAGACACATGAAATTATAAGAATGTACACATGCCACTATATTCTTTTTACATGAAATTCTCTGCTCCAAATATCAGGGGAAATAGAGAATCCCCCCTCCACAGTTTTAAGTATCAATGTAACTAGTAGAAAGTAAGTATCAATGTACCTTGTAGAAATTTTATCTTAAACTCCTCAGGAAAACATAAAGCTCCCATGTGCATCACCATTGACAATGCTCAGTTTGCAAAGGACAGAAAAAGCATGCAGAACAGAAGATAAAAAATCAGTAATTTCATGCAACAGTCTGCTTTTTATGAGAGGTCCCCTTCCATTGGGTGCTGAGCACCTCTAAAGAGGAGCTGTGTATGCTCCCCCTCTTTTCAGAACTAGCAACAGATCATATTGTCTTGCACTCATTGTGCAGTAACATTTCCCAAAAATCCTCTTATCTTAGATTTTTCAATGACGAGGCTGTTTCAGAGAACACAGACGTGAGGGTTAGCTGTTGCAACACTTCCTCCCCTCTCCACTGCTTGCTCCAGTAACCCTGCCTTACAGCTACACACTGGGCCGGGTTGCTGACTTACTCATTTCCTCTCCAAGCTTCCTCTCCTACCACCCCGCTTTACAGGCACGTCTGACCGGGGAGTTTTCGACTTCAATGCTCGGCTCTGGCCGCTGACAACGAACGGGAGAGCCGCTGTTATCTGCGACGCGGAGGACCGGTCTCGGCAGCACGATAACGGAACAGACCCGATCCTGTGTTTGTGTGGTCCGAGCCCCGTCCCGGCTCCTGGTGACTTAACCGGTTGCAACACGAAACAGGATTCAGCAGGGCAATCCGAGCTCGGGCACAGCCTGCTCATGTTAACGACGGTTTCCCCTAGCATTCCTCAACCGCTCGTCATGCTAAACCTTCAAGAGAGTAGAGGAAATAAACTCTGATACCCAAATATAGTTATGAACTTCACCTCGATACTTCACATGTAGCTATAAGGAGCAGGGTAGAGCTGCTTGGCAGGATCCGTAATGAAACAATACGCTTCGTAATGCGGTGGTTTAACGGAGTGAAAAAGAGAGAACATCTCACAGGTTACTGCCTTTCTTAGAAAATTCTTTAATCATAAACTGTGTGATTAGACATCAGGCAGTGCTATAATGCCTCCTCTTTAAAATTAATGCAGAAATGTTACCACCCACAATCAATGTCAAATGGGAAATGTCAGATGGATTTCAGAAGTACAGTCAGCCTAATGCAATAATAATGCATGACACTTTGTTAGCATCCTCCACAAAATCATCTCAACATGCTTTCCTGGCACAAATGAGACCACCCCTACTATTTATTATTCCTGTAGTTGTGGGGAAACTGAGGTATAAAGGCTTTCTCAGTGGATTTTTTTCTTTTTAATGTGGCTCACTCAAGGGAAAACAGAGCTGGGAATACAACCCAGATACTCTGAGTTGCAATCATTTATTCTATATGCTTTTTTATCGGGCAGTTTTATAAATAGGCTTGGTGGGAAAATGCATATTCCAAGAATCAGGATCCTTCTGCATATTTTTGTTTGTTTGCTACAGAATATAGAGTTTCAGATCTGAAAATGGTCTCCTGTTGCTGCCGAGAAGACAGCTTTCCATACTTAGAGTCTGCCTCTGTTCCTCCCTTATGTGCCAATGCTGCTGTTTAGGAAGAACAACAGTTGCTGCCAACTGAGTTATGCCAAGACCTCGTGACACATTTCCATGCCATTTAGGATGATGGGTTATATTTGAAAAATATTTCAATATTTCTCAACTATATGAAAAAGTTTCCTTCCTAGATCTGTGGGAAGAAACAGACAGTACCCAGTTCTCATCACTTGTCCTTTAAAATACTTTCTAGGAGACAACTGCATCCTCATTCATTAGCATGAAAGAATTGAAATGCTGTCCCCCAGTGCTCACTCTCGTACTCTCTTCTGTGCACCATACCACCCTAAACACCTTTTGGGATGGGGAGGCTTTTTAAGAACTCCATTTCTTTTTAAGAACTCCATTTCCCAAAAGGAATCTGTAGGCAACAGCAAGCTTCCCACAGATTTTTCTTTCCTCTTTATCTTGTAGCAAACAAGAG